TTATTTTGTATCTAACCAGGTGGGCCCCTCCACTACATAGTTGTTGGGGGATCTAAACATGATTCTACAGTCAGATTTTACCATGTGTTGTCATGGGAACAATTGTCCCATTGGAAGATTTCCCCTCTATTCCTGTTTAGTGACAACTCAAAAGTTTCGATTTACCCTCATTGCCATTGCCCTCTGTCTCTCTAATGGGGACACAGACAGCAATAAAAAAACCTGAAAGGGAGTTCTAACTGCTTACCACTCTGTCCAAATATTTTTTTTAAAAGTTCTGCCTTTAGTTATGTTTTGAGGACTAGCAGTGCCACATCGGATGAAACTTGACTAGAATTTAACAATACCTAATTCATGCAATTCCCTGGGCTGTGGGAGTAGAAAAGCAACCAGGGCACACCCTAGACAATGTCAGTGATATATGACCCAGGTTATTCTGGAATAGTAAACTGGTTGTGTGAGAAGTCACAGAGGCTGTATTAGACAGGAGTGGACTGATCAGTGAGGTTGACGCAGCCACTGAAGCAAGGTAAGGTTTCAAATTGGGAAGCAAATTTAGTACTAGTAAGAAGGTAAAAATGTAGGTTTCATGTAGAAGGATACCTTGGGCATTTCATTTTCCATGGAACCAGAATCCTTTAAACTGTAAACTTGGGAAGAATCTTTTAAACTTGCGAATCCTATCAACTGTCTTTGAGCAACCAGATGATCCTCCTTCCACCCAACGTCATATCCACTATTTAGTGCATACCTGGCGATCTTTTCATTTCTATATGTAAGGCCAGGTGCCAGGGATGATCCATAAATATTCTTCTTTATCATTAGATATAAACTATAAAAACAAAACTTTCCAAACTGCTGCATTCCTTGCAGCACCAGATTTCCTGATGTCTGTTGACACAATTATTGTGCTCCTTACACTGGACTGCACAGGATAGGTTCATATTGGGTGTCTTTGTCCCTTGTCTAGCCATTTAACTACACTCATATGATATGTAAATGTCTAGCTGATATAAAACTACACAGTTAAAAGGTATAAGGGCATTTTATATGTGAGTACCTAAAGGCAGGATTTGGGGATAATTAGGATGTTCATGGGCACGTTTAGATGTTATGAGATATCCTTGACTAATGGATCTTGGCATAGTGTTTGTGGGGGACTTTTAGGCATTATTCAAAGGCATTATAGTAGTACTGTTTTTATTTTACAAGTGTGTCAATGGTTAGGCTTTTACCATACAGGCCTACACAGTAGAGTATTATTTGTAGTCAAAATGAGGCATTTACTGGTATGACTTCAGACTGAAAGCTAATATGCTTACTATTGATATATCTGGTGGCTCTGCCTTATTTATAGGAAACTCTCCAGCCTTACATTTCTGTTGGTGGTCATACATGTCATAATGGGATAGTAAGAGTTCCAATATTTAATCAGGTGATCTCAACGTGTTGCTGTGTTTTTCATCAGAGGTAGTCAGAATTTGCTGATGGGTTTGAATGGAATACTATGTGCTGCGCCTGTATGATCAATTCCAAATTGCGGTCATAATGGTCATAAGCTGGCAAATGTAAATGTAGAAGCTTAGCTTTATTTCATGTTGAGAATGAGCAGAGCCAATGCAGTGTAACATTTTTATGTTTTTTTTTTATAAGTATAAAAGATCAGTACAGCAGTAGTACAAAGGCACGTTGTAATGGTACAGAAATGTTCAGTTAAAACCTTCAGGATATTATAACATATGGCAAAAATGTCCCAAAGGGCAGCTATAGTGGTAGCCCCTTGATTCCTAGAGAATCAGAGTGGGCAACGAAGGCTGCGTGCATTCCAAAATACCGAGTATACTGCCTAGTGTCTGGCTTAATAAACTTGACAAACAAGATAAACAAAGAACATACAGTAACAATAATAATAATAATAAGCTCAACCGCCGCTCCATGTTGCGCTAACCCCACGGAGGTTCCTAGCAGTATAGTAGTAGTGAGAAATAGTTGCTTAAATAATCGGCCATCAGAACATTGGGTCAGATTCCATAAGGAGAGGGGGAGGGGATGCAGGGGGTCCCGGGAGCATTGGGAAGTGAGAGGTCAACATTTAGGTAGAGTTATAGTGGTTTCAGAGTGTGGAAGTTGCAGAGGAGTATTGCGGTGTATTGATAGTATTGCATCCAAAATAGAACTTGATCTACATTCCTCCTCTGTGCGTGTAGGTATAAACGTTTATAGACATAGTGTCTCGGGGTCATCAGAGTGTACTGATGATGACGCAGCCTCAATATTTGGGTACGAGCTGTAGGAGTAAGAAAGTACTTCTGTGACGACTAATTTAACCCTATCTACCGAGATTGCAATTTATCAAGGAGGCGACATGTAGAGAACTTAAAGTGTGCAAGCAGGTTTTCCCGTTCGGAGGGGGAGAAGGAGAAAGTAATATACGGCATCCATTAATCATAAAACTTGGTTACCGCTTTCTCGTTCTGTAAATTTAAAGTAGCGTCCAGCCTTTCTAAGTAAAATAGATCCTTTATTGTCCCTTTCAAAGCATAGCAATGTGAATTTACAAAATAGATCATTGAGATATTTGTACGAACAACGAAGGAGGTACATTATGATTTATAAAAGAAAGACCCCTTTTTTCTTTGTTTTTTTTTGTCATTTGCTCAAAATAGCAGCATTAAAACAAGTCACAAGTAAAATTTTAAACTTGGAACAGTAACAAGGAGCATACTTCTATACCCCAATAAATGACCACGATCATCTTAAAAGAAATACTATAATGAAAGAAGTTGTGAAGTTGAACATTCTAATTAGGGAGTTTCCTGTAGCATATCAATGCAATCCACAGTTTGGGAAACAAGGTGACATTTTTTTTTTAAATGATTGATTTGAAAAGGCACGAGAAGTATGGGTTTCAATTGAATTTCTTACAGATCAATTTAAACTTTTTAGATTTTAAACAATAATTGATCATTTTAATCAGCCCTGTTGCAAAATCTAATCATGTTTGGCCAAATTGATTATTTTGACTATTGAATCAATAATTGATTATTTGTTTATGATAAAGCTGATAGCATAGAAAGTGTGGCCAGCAGGGGATTCAACAAGTGAAACAAATGGCAAACGCACAAATCCATTTTCTGCTTCTTAAAGGGTGTATAAAAAAGTGTTTAGCTCCACCCATAAATACTTTTGTACTGTGTATGATTGTATGCCTTAGCAATCCATTATTTATGAGTCTAGAGTGAGTTGAGTCAGAGAAAATGCTCTACAAAGTATATTGAGTATGACTAGATACTACAGTGCCATGTCATGGAAAAGTGTTCACAGAATCCCACATGCCACTTTATAAGGGCTTCTATCACACATTATCATCATTCTGAAGCAGTCAGAGCAATGGAAACTAGCCATTGATTGGTGCTACATTTTGCCCTTTGCATTATTAAAGGCCAAATCCTCTAAGTACTGACCTTCACTGGAACTGTCTCTGTGGACAGTTATGGGACCGTGGAATTAGGTAAGTATAACAGGGTCATAAAAATGTATAAAAATAAAAACATGACAGATTGGCTGGGGGTGGGTGGAGGGCAAAACATTATTTCCTGGCCCGAGTTCATCTGTATGCAAGATATATATGGACAAATGGACTGAATCCCCACTGCTGGGCAAGATCTGTAATTCAGCAATGTTGTTAACGTGCTGCGAAAGTCAGTGTAAGCCTCTAAGTCTAGAGAATGCACCATCCAAAAAAATTCAGCAATGGCAGTTCCTATATTTCTGTTCTGACAGATTTCCCTTAGGCTGGGTTCACACCTAGGCGATTCGCGGTTAAAAAAACGTGCGACAAACGCGCATTTCCGTGGGCTACTTGGCTGTATCCCAATGGAAACGCGAGACCAAAACGCCCCAAAGAAGTACATGTACTTCTTTGGGCGTAGGCCGTTTTGGATCGCGTTCGGACAGGCGGAAATACGGCAAGGTGTAAACCAGACCCATTGAATACAATGGGATTTAGATGTTTGAGCGTTTTGTAGAGCGTTCGTTGAGCGTTGAACGCGCTACAAAACGTTCAGGTGTGAACCAGGCCTTAAAGTGTATCTATACCCCAAACTTTTTTTTAGTTTGAAAAAAAATGGGGAAAGGTTAGAACCCCTTTCAGGTTTAATTGCTATCTGGGGCTCCTTTCTGTTCTGGGAACAACCTTTTATCAGACAGGAAGTGAGGGAACATTAAGAAGGAAGGAAGGAAGCAGGCAACAATAAAAAGCTGACAGATGTAATGTCATTCTCCTACTTACGTAAAAATCTATTTCTTCTGTCTTTGTTGCTGTTAGAGATTTCCCCTCACTTCCTGTCCTAGGACAACCTTTTTCCTTTTTACCAGGTAGAAAGTGAAGGAATCTCTCCAACAGGGACTCCGACTGTAAAACCTGACAGGAGTTTCAATCTTTTCCCACTGTTTTCAATCTTATAAAAAGTTTTGGGTATAGATACATTTTAATTTAGGGATGCACAGATACTTTTCGAGTACCAGTGCAGATACTTGGCATTTTCATGAGAACTACCAGGGTTGCAGCTGGTGCCTGGCTCTGGCGCTCCACCACTGTCCTGAAATCATTGGTCTGTATTGTTTTAGAAAAACTGTCACATGACAATGAACAAAAATGTATCAGTACTCATACTTGTAAGTACTCGGCAAGTACCAGTACTCGTACTCGCAAAACTGGTATCTGTGCATCCCTTTATTTATATTTATAAAAACAAAATCATACATTTAAAATAGAGATGTACAAATCCCGGGAGCTCCGTGTGCTCCATGCAAATTCCAGCTGCCTCCTAATTTTTGAATTTTTCTCTAGTGTAGTCTTGGAACTCAAAAGTATCGGTACATGTAGTCATACTTGTACCGAGTACTATACTTGGTATCTGTGCAACCCTAATTTTAATAAAAAGGAAAGTGTCTTAATTTTTTTTTTCATAGAGTTAATTATATATGTATTTTTACAGATTTCCAAAAGAGAAACCAGCAACAGCCCCAACACCAGTTGCCCGTAACATTAATAAAGCGAGGCAAGTATTTTATACTGGAGATTTTCCCTTCCCGATTACTAATTCAGAGCCTTTTAATCTTTTGCTTGTATTTGCATCCATTCATATATTAAATCCATAACTGTATTTCAGTAAGAACCTGCTGTATTTTCTCTTTACTGTGTTATCAAATTTATTTCGGAAAAGTATTTGGAATGTTAGTAAAAGTTGTAAATATCTCTACAAGCCATTGAATTCATCTGAGGATGTTTTTTTCTTTTTGGAGCTGTAATTCACTTAATCCCTTTGTTGTACATACACATACGTTCAAATAATATAGCTGAATCAAAAGTGTTTTGTATGAGTGAATGTGAGATAACAAGTAAAAGTGTCGAGTCTACTTAGGGGGTATTGACATGCATTAGAGTTGAGCGGTTAGTTAATTTGCCTTGTTGATTTGGACCTATGGTTCAGATCCTACCAAGGGCATTCATTTTACACCATTTGCTTGTTCTCCTTATGTTTGTGTCTGTTTTACTGCCGCTACCAAAAAAAACAAAAAACCCATAATACTTGCAGGTCAATTGGCTTCCATCTAGATCAGCTCTTTTGAAGGTTGGTATGCATGCATTAGATTGACATTAGGTAGCCAGTAGAAAAAGATAAATAAATCCAGCCATTTGGGAACTTTGGCATGAGATATCCTTGTATCTGGACAGGCTTAATGGACCTAAGACTCTGTCTAGGGATTGCTTGAGAGCTGTGCCTTGGGAGCAGTAAAAGGGTTACTATAGTCTCCCTGTGCATATACTGTTAGATTGGATAGCATAAGGAACAGCAGGGGTCACTTTGAAGGTTAAATATCTCAATTTCTATACAGGTGTATTTTTCCATCGCATTGCACCTTTCCATAAAATAACTTTTTATTTTAGGTTTACTGTGTCTGTAAAACTAAATTTTTATTTGACTCTGTTATCAGCGAGAAACCTGCAAATGAAGCTCCCTTGATTGTGATCTCTCCAGAATTTGACGAGAAGAGGTATTACCTTGCACTGAATTCATATATTGTGAAATCATTTATTTATGTATTAAATGACATGTGATTAATCTGCCACAATCCTGCCCACTGCTGAATACTCCCTCCTTCTGTTTAATTTTTTCCACTGTTACATGTGCATTCTGCATTTGTTTCAGGCCTGCTCAGCCCTCCAGAACTGAGTCTATCAGCACAGAGACAAGATACAGAGTTTCAGAGTCCTTGGATGACTCTCAGCCGATTCCCAGCAGCAATAGGTAAGAAGTATAATCAGTTACCATAATTTATAGAGCGTGAGAAAGTGATAATCCCTTTATCCGTATATCTATAAATAAAAATATATATTTCCATAAAAAGCAAATAATTTTGTGCGAGATGTATATATATCTCGCACACCTGTATATATATACATATACAGTGTATATGTGGAAGAGCAGCTGGGACAGGAAGTGTTTTAGAGCTAAAGAACACCTACCTTCTCTTTTTCATACGAACGGTGTTCTGTAGTCCACAAAGAGAACTGGGAACAATGCTAACTTCAGTTAACGAACAGGCAGAGCGCACAGAAAATGATCAATTTACTAGTTTTTGGCAGGTTCCAACATGTAGCACTAATCAAACAGATACAGTATAGCAAAACACTTTCACTAATATATTTAACAGACCAAAAAGGAGCAAATAAAGTAAGTTCATTGTAAGGATTTACACTTCACCCTCTGTGAACCAGAGCATTTTTTTTTTATTTTAGCTATGGGCCTACTGATTTAGTAGGCCCACATATTTTTGAGTGTGTATGTTTGCAGATGGGACAGAAAAGGTGGTATTGTCTTCCAATATTTATTTTACTTTCTAGAATTTTTAAGGCTAAATGAATTGAAAAGCAAACAGTAAAAAAATAAATAAAAAAACAAAACAAAAAAACAAATGAGAGGAGTTAACTAGTGGGAGGCATGCTGTGTCTTTGCTTGTCTCAGGAGGAAGAGCGGGCACACAAAGGTGCTAATGTTTTTTTGTTCCTTCACATGTGTAAGGCTCTGTTCACACATTAGCGGGTTTCCGCGTGTATACATAAATTCTAATGTAGTTTGTTCACACCTGCGCGTCATGAAAACGCGAATCGCTCAAAAAGGTACAAGTGCAATATTATGGGTGATTTCCGTGTGCTCCGGCTATAGTAGTAGCGTATGTTAAAATGTGCGTTTTTTCGCGCCGCGCGGAAAACTGCACTGCATTCATATCACTATGTGTGAACGGAGCCTATGACTGAATATTTTTTTCCTGGGAATTAACTTTGTTGTTACATTGTATGTTCACTTTAAATGCAGGTGGTATTTAGAGTTTTTCTTTATTATACACATTGAAAGAAATGTATACAAAATTCAACAATATTTCTCTTTCCTGCTGTGTATATCCAGAATAACATCAACTTCAGGGGACAGAAATGTCAAGATAACAATAGAGACATTATCTGAGCAACCACAATCAACTGAAACCACCCAGACAGAGAGAAGCAGCTCTCCAAGGTGATTATCTGTTAAATTTAAAGGGTCCACCCACCAACTAATATTCCTTGGAACCTGAGTTTCCAGGTCTAGCTGTTTGCTGTAAACTTGGTGTCACGTATGTTCACTTCAAACGCAAGCGGTATTTAGGGGTTGTTCTTTTAGGGCCAATTCACACCTCTCCAGTAAGGATGGGCTGCATGTTCGAGGGTGTTCGGCTCATCACTACTCTCCAGTTCATTGCAGAAACATTATTGCACATTAATGCATATTCATTATCGGTGGTACTCCAACGAAATTCCGTTAAACATGTGTTACAGCACACCACAACGTATGGTAATGCACTACTGTGCATTGTGGTGCACTGCTGTTAAAAGAATGGTACGTGTCTGACATTATTTGGTGCATTGGCAGCCTATTGATTTGAATGGGCAACCTTCCCGGCATAACACACAATAATGCAAGGCACAGCAACGGACGGGTGTGAATCCAGCCTAAGGTACAAAGAAAAATATTCAGCAATATTTCCTTTTTCTGGACCTTCAGAATAACATCAAATTCAGGAAACAGGAATGTCCAGATATCGATAGAGACATTATCTGAGCAATCAAAAACAACTGAAACCCAGGAGACCGAGAGAAGCAGCCCTACAAAGTGATTATCTGTCATATTAAAGGGTCAGTCCATATTAAAGGGTCAGGACCTGAGTTTTGGTAGGCTGCAGCCATGGTCAGATGTATGAGAGTGCTGGTCTTAAGAACCACAGTATAGGCTGGAGATTGCGTTATTACCTGTAGAATCCCATGGAGATATAAGAGCATCCAGTCACCCATTTATCACCTACTCCAACTTTCTATGTCTTCCTTAAAAATGTAAATGTGTTTTTCAGACCTAGCCCACGTTCCAGAGAAAGTACTACTACATTCACAGAAACTAGATACCGAGTTCCAGAGTCACTTCAAGACACAATGCTTGAATCAAGCCCCAGCAGGTACGGCTCATTCTCATAAATGTATACTTTCAGATGTCTTTGATACATGCTGGGAAATGACCAAATTAAGCTCATGGCAGCACAATCAGTGACAATTCTCTGTACCAGTACAGAGTCACCATCAAAAGGCACCTCGCTACCTTTTATTATAGGTTCCCTTTTCGTACAGAGCATTTGAAGGAATACTCTCCCCCGGTTGGAGAATCGCCATGAAAAAGATATTCTCTTTAGGGCAGAACTACTGCATTCTACTGAGTAGGGCCTTCAATACATTCACTGGCATGTTACCCCATATTCAGAACCCTATCAAGTAGTGGGAACTAATCTCACCCATTTCCCTCATTGTGCAAAATCATAGCCTCCCAAGCCTCAATTTCTAATCAGTATTTTGGACCCCACTTTACATTTCAACTCTTACCAATGGGGCATAGCTTTTTGTTAGTCTCCCTGCTTCTTGCTCACCACCAATAAGTGATTCTCCGAGTGCCTCCCTGATGGCGGCCTTGGTCAGTATATGGATATTTCACTGTCTCATTAATATTTATATCTGCCTAGAATAGATAATGGCAGCCTCATGTAGGTATTGAAAATGGGTTAGTACAGAGGAAATAAACGGCTCATTGTAACACAAGCTTATATATTATATGTTGTGCATGTTTGGACCTAAAGTAACATACAGCTGTGCTTGGTTAGATCTGACCTTTTAGTGTGGTGAGATATTATAATGGAATCATAGTAATTGCTCATGAATGTTTGTAAACTCCATTGAGATGTACACATCATGAGTGAATATGTGGAATGCCCCCATACTTGTATGTTTGCTTTCCAGCGCTGAGGATTTGATCGGTGCTGGAAACTTTCACTAGGTGTGCCTTTAAAGCTGGCATTTTAGAGTGAGAGAAATGTCACTGAAGCCAGTTTCGAAAAGTATTAGTATAACTGGTTTCTAGGTTGAGACATTAGCATTTTATCAGAACATTTTACGACTAGCCTCAAATACTTTTGAGATGATTGTATCTGTTAAAGGAAACCTGTCCCTGTGAGTAAAATGTCACTGTTCTTCTCTCTGACCTGTTTCTAAAAGTGCTACAACAGCCCAAAACAAGGATGCAGATCTGGAATAAAGCCAGAACTCAGCATTTACATACTTGTTCTGCATCACTGATTCACAACATTGAAACAAAAGAGTTATGTTGGATTTTACCAAGCCGACCACCCTTGCTTTTTCCCAGTGCAGGAGATGGCTTCCTGTTCACAAACACAAGCATGTATGTTAATATACACATTTGGACCACAATCTTTCATTAGATAGATCTTTTAGCAGCTGAATCATGAGTGTATTTAGGTACTTTGGAGTGAACCCGTGATCAGGCTACAGAAATTCAGCTATTTGCTTATTCTTAGCAAACGCTAAATGAGAACAACAACCTCTAAATGATCTCTGTAGCTGCAGGTACTCTGGAGCAATCATCAAAGGTAACAGCAGAAGCACTGAATCTGTCCAAGTCCTTAACCCAGCAGTCTTCCAGCCTTCTAATCTCTACTGTAAACACAGAGCAGGAGGTCTATGAGGGCTAGGGGGGCTGCTAAGAGAAGGACATGGACAACTTCAATGCTTCTGCTGTGAACTTTGATGATGAGGAATTGCAGTGTCTTCAGCTACACAGGTCTGTGAAGGTCTTCTTTACTAGCAAATGCATTGCCTGTTATGCATTTACAAATACTTGAATGCCCATAGTCCAATTGAGATCATCCCTGGCTGGTAATTCACACCTTGTAAAAGTTAAATGCATCTGCAAAATTATACTATGCATTTACCCAAAATATTCCTGGGTAATATTCTCAAAAAAGGAAATGTCAGACCTCAGATAAAGGGCCTGATGTTATTATTTGTGAAGGGAGGAGACCGGCACCAAGACATTTGTACTTGTCATTATAAATACTTGGCATACTTTATATAGTTAGTTACAGGTGGGTTGTCAGCATTCCCAGCATGCTTCTGGCTGGTGTGGTCTGTTTTTGTGAAGGCGGAAGCCACTACCAAGAACCAGTTCAGCCAGAATTCTCTACTATAGCGTCTGATAAATCGTCTTGAGATTTTCATCATATGCTATTCAGCTTACTACCACAAACTGATAAAACATAAATTCTTTATCCTACCATTAAATATAAAAATATTTGATGAATACCCTACAATTTTTATTTAGTACATCAATAATATATCCCAAAGTTAAAGGTTCATGATGTATTAATGCCAATATTTGAAGATGTTTCCAAGACAATATTGTAGTAGAACTCCTTTTAAAATTGTACAGTTATCACTAGAACAGTAAGGGAAAATATCCCAATGGAGATAAATGTTCCAATGATAGCTGCTTACCAAAGGTGTTGTTTCCCCACACTTTAATATGTGCCTCTAGGACAGGAACTGAGATGGGATTCCCCAATGGAAACACAATAAAGCCTGACAGTAGTTCTAACCCTTATCAGCACTATCTAAAACAAAATGTAACATTTACTGGCTCTCCACTTTATTTTCCCCACAACGTACCCATTAAGTTGCAATGCAAAGGCTATATTTTGACCTGGCCATAAGGACAGCAAATATTTAATAGTGGGTGCTCCCAATTGTAGTTTTGGCATGATCTGCTGTGGAACTCCCTAGGGTACAAATACCTACATCTTATGTGCTTTCAGTATAGTAAGTGCAGTACGTTTCCTCCCCTAAAAAGCTGTTCTGAAATGTACAATTTTTATTATAGTTTGTTTCCCTTAATAAAAATCTGATGTTTACCTTGAAGCCCCAGTGTGTCTGAAAAAGTTCACCAAGGGGTTTATTTATAAACAGCTATGCAAACCGTTCCGCAGTGCATTGTGGCCACTAGATAAGTCAAGGAGCATAGCAAATTCCCGCGCTCCTCTGCTTCATCTAGTGGCCACAATGTGCAGTAAACCATTTTCACATAATGGTTCCCCCATGTGAACGGGTTATAAATCAACCCCCAACTTTATATACTTTACAGCTCATGTTGGCCATATACATAATATAATTGTTCAATATACTGATATGCAAAATTATCATTTTGATCAACAAACTACTATTTATATTAAAAAAGAACAATCAGTCCTGGCAGAACATTATGTAAGGTATGTATGTATGTAAAGTAAAGATGAATTGTTTATCGTCTTGTCAGAGCTCACAGACTCACAGACCACATCCAATCAGATTCTGTTCTTCATTCTACACTACACTGGGAATATAAGCTATGAGAAACAACAGCAATTCTTCCTTCACGTGTTTTGATAAATAATGATCAACGCATATTAGGTTTTTCAAGCCAGCCATGGAGTAACAGTAGGCTCTGTAAAGTACTGTGCGCTCTGTTCCAGGACTCCTCTATTCAGCTGACTCCAGCTTGTCATTGTCACCAGTGATTAGGAGTCTGCTCATCCTCCTCTGCTTCACTGTCCTTCCAATTACCCAACCTCATGTGACCCCTCACATCATCCTGAGACACAGGAAGATAAGATTCCAGACACTGCAGAATATTAAATCACTTCTGTTTACTGTATGACATTTAAAGTGACACTAAACTCGGGATTTAAATCTTACAAAATGCATTCAAGTACCTGAACTATTAACCAAAATGTATCTTATTTGTGTATCATCCTCAAAATCATCTCTGAATTGGTGCTGACAGTGTCCTTCCTTCTGGGGGGTGGCTACTTTTGTTCCCCATGGGCCCCGTGTGTGTTGTAAAATAGCCACCGCTCCAAGCTCGCTCCCGTGATGGACTACAATCTCATGTTTAGTTTAATAATTTGTATTGAGATTTTAATCTATTTGGGGAGTGAGCTTGGAGCAGTGGCGACTTTACAATACACACAGGGAGGGAGGTCATCTTTGTTTTCTTTCCTTCTATCAGCAAGCTTTCTCCAGTAGTTTGATAGCACTGTGCAATGCAGTAGAGCCTGATTGGCTTATAGTGCAGGCCAGTTTTCTCCCATCCTAAGCCTTGTGATACAGGAGATTATAGAAGGTTAATACAATAAAAGAGTTATGCTTTTAAAATTTAAAGGTAAGAATTTTCATGAAACATATAACTGGATTGAATATGATTCTGCTATATCTGTCTATAACTCTGCTGTTGAAATGGCAAGCAGCCTATGAGAGTTCTATAAAAACCTAATCCTACAGGTATATTGGTTCATGATGCAGACTCTTTGGGGTTGATTACTAAGTACAAATGGGCTGTTCACTTTACAATGGAATTTTTCCTTACCTTTAGTGAATGTGATCAATTCATTTTGCAAATAATACTTGATTACATGCAAGGAAAATAAAAAGAAAACAACAACAGTATTTTAGCTTGCGCATGACTGAATGAAGGAAATCTGCAGAGTTTTACTTCATTCACTAAGCTAAGGGAAAATTCCTTTGCAAAGTGAAAATTTACTTTTCAGAAATGATTATAAAAATAAACTTCTGCAGATATTGACATCTCTGACCTTATCTTTGAATTAGATCCAACTCGCACACCACAGTCAGTACAACTCGTTCCACAAATCCCGTATACACAGAGTATCTAGAAGACAGCGACTCCAGATCAAGGAGGTAAGAGAACAGCATGTACCTGTGTATGAACCAATCCACATGAAGAGATTCCATTCTGAAAATACTTTACCATCATTACAATCATTTATTTGTAAACGAAATAATACCTACACATAATTAAGCAATGGATGTTTTAAAGTAATTTACAGTCATGAATTACCGTATTTCTTGCTCCATAAGACGCACTTTTTCCCGCCAAAAGGCGGGAAAAAATGTCAGTGCGTCTTATGGAACGAATGTGTGAGAGCTCCCTCATCCCTATCGCCCGACGCCCCGGACATGCAGTTTCGGGTGCCGGGCGAGTAGTTTTTTTGTACATTTAGCCCTGCTCCTGACAAGCAGAGCTAAATGTATAGTGTGGAGCCGCCGCTCGTTTTCATACAAGCATACGTTTTCATACAAGTGATCTGATTAGATCACTTGTAGGAAAGGAGCAGCGGCGCTTCTGGCCCTGTCGTCCCCCCCTTCCTGCTGCAGTTTTCGGGGTCTCCACTCCTCTTGGGGACCCATGACCACGGCATAGCAGCTCACCACAGAGCCCCTAGAGCAGACGAAGAACGTCCGTTCTTTGTCTGCTCTGTGTGATCACTGATGAGACTGTGGGGCTGTAATCACAGCGTCAGCTGTCACTAACTACAGCTGTCAGAACCCTACCCTCCCTGCGTCCTATGGTTCGGTGCGCCTTATGGAACGCAAAATACGGTATATAGCATGTATTTATCTATTTTATCTTCCTCATCTGTATACCCTGTATACCCCTTATAGAGCAACAGCTCTGTCATTACATTTGTTATTGAGGTATCTTATTATTTTTTATATTATTTATTTTGTTATTTTATATTATTATCAAAGAAGGATAAACTTATTAAAAATAAAAAGCCGATTTATTTTTATTTAATGTCATTGTATCTATTGAGATGCTACTAAAAAAACAAACCAAATATGACCTAAAAAGAGTGTGCAAAAATATCCAAAGGTTCTAACCTTTTCCCACTTTACTAAAAAAAATGTTGGAAGCTGTCCATAACTTGAAGTGAGGAAAGATACCCCAAGGGGGATGCATAAATTAGTAAAAACAAAGGGTCTAAGCCCTCTACAGTCTTTCCGAACTAAAAAGAAAACAATTGTCTGGAGTTGAGCTTTAAAGCTTAACTCCGGCAACACAAACTTTAATTCAAAAATATTCCTCATTAGCCACAAAGGATAAAAATCATTGTGGGTTCCCCAAATGCCTTTGCAAGCACAAGAATTACCCTTGTAAAGGTAGTAGTGACATCATTACTGTGCTGTACAAATCCTGTGCAGAGAGCAGACTTGTGGGAGGGGCCTAGCAGCTCCACCCACTACAGACTGCCTGCAGAAAACTAGAGGAGGGGGCGGGATTCAAGACCAGTCGCCCTACACAAGGAAACAGAACAGTAGTGACCGGTCTTTATTACAGTAAGCTCCTGCACAGAGATTGTTTCCCACTGATCTGGAAAAAATACACAAAGCACAACAATATTCAAGTAAGAATACACAGGACTCTTGTACTTGTACAGGATTCAGGGTCTCTGCTCTGCCCAAATACTGCGCTTTTCTGATTAAGTGAAGCTTCAGCTCTTCCTGGTAGTGTCAAACCTTGTGCACCCCTTTCTGCCTTCTGCACTCTTATTGTAGAGTGAGGTAACCCACCATAGTAATGGGCCCATCGAAATGTATGGAAACAGGAGGTATGGGGCAAATTCATCAGGAAGTTTTGTTGATCAGAGTGACCTGGCATAAAGGCAGAGCAGAGGCACTGAAAGCTTCTGCCTGTATGCACAGACACCTTTAGGCCCCATTCACACCAGATGCGATGGGATCTGTTTTTCAATGGATGCCAACACAAGGACATCTGAAAATGAATGGGTGTGAATGGGAGCAGTTCACACCAGTGTGTTGTGTTGCGTTGTGCTCCCATCCACTGAAAAAAAAAGTAGAGCAGGTTCAACATTTTTCAGTGCAATGCACCACAATGGACCAGTATGAAATGCTAAAGAGTGTCAAAATGATCTCCCTATAAAGTACCATGTTACCCACAGTGTTGTAAAATGTATCCGGAAAGCCATAGTAGGCCTTTAAACTGGATTTATATTTGATAGTCAGCTTACCAGTACATTTTGGATGCAAACACAGGAAGAACACACAATCCTCATAAAGACAGTAATCTGAATGGAGAGTGTATGTTTTGCTTGTGTTTGCATTATTTTTCACCCCAGTGCTGTAAGACAAGAGTGCCAGTCACATGGCCACCAATTCTAAATATAATATTTTGTATGGATACCTTGCATAATGGAATCATATTTATCTGTAATACAATTGCATCTTCTGTTTAGTTTTGAACTATAAAGTAGATATTGTGTGTACATGGGAATATATATAGGAACAGGCATATGTTTTTGAACTGATTACAATCAAAAATGCAGCAGAAACGTGGCACAACCCAATGCACTTCGTGTGCAGAAACTCATGCAGATCTGCTCTGCATTTGGTGTGAACAAGGCCTTAGATGGCATTTCCCTTATTTTGCAGAGATTTCCCCTTACTTCCTGTTGAGTGTTTAGGACAGGAAGTGAAGGGAAACGGGGGGAAAAAACCTAATAGAGGTTTTTTTCATTCCATACTCTATTCAAAATTAAAACATTGGCTTTAGATATTCATTTGACTAAAAGCATTTGCCTCGGTGTGATTAGAATATGTGAAATAATTGATTCTACCCTTGTAATAATGTTTTACCTGGAAAATCTTGGTATTTTCAGAACTGTTTCTAGTTCAATGGAAAAAATTACAACAACTACAACAGTGGAATCCCGATATGACAATGCTTCCTCTGGGGACACAAGTCAGTATGATCCTCAGTCTTCCAGGTAAGGCACTTTCTAAAGCTATACATCACTGTAGTATAAAATCCATCTGTTAGGTTAATGTCACAATGGAAATTTTGCTCATGTAGCACCTCACCGGTGACGGGAACACTGAAATTCAACTTCCAGCAGTGCAGGGCTTATCCTCCAACCCGCTAACCTTTGCAATGTGGAGGAATCAGGTTAATCTTATGTTGCCTATGGAAAAGCTGATCATACACAGTGTATTAGACCTCAAGAGCCTTCGCTCTCAGTTCCTGGCCAAGCATTGATTTATGATGGCAGAACCTTCAATAATATAATAAATCCTTCTGAATTCCCATAGTTGTGTAAGATTCTTTGTAGCAATGGTGACCGGGATTCCACAGAATATCTTGCGTCAATATGTGACCACACGTGTGAAAAGTGTGCTGGAAACACAACAAGTATTACCAAGATATACTGATAAAAAACATATACATTTACATACATAGGTGTGATTGAACTCAATGGCGCCACAGTGCACGGCACATCAATGCCTGCGTTCCGGTGCAGTCGGAAAAATAGTGCATGCAGCATTAATTCTGACCGTACCAGACCGGAATGCAGGCATTGATGTGCCTTGCATTCCCGTGCAGCCGAGCGCACTGTGGCCGGAAGGCGTGGCCCCTCCTGCCCCAAAACAAAGTGAGCCGGCCGGAATGCGATCTAGTGCGTTCCGGCCAGAATCAGGCCGGAACGCACTGAGGATGGTGTTACTAAGCCATGAGAATGAAATATAAACATACTCCTAACTGATATAGAAGACGGGAAAGTATTTAAAAGCTTGTGCTGCAGTCATCCTTCCCTTCCTTCTAACCTCCCTATAAATGGAAATTATACTGTATTGCGATATTCTCCATTGCACAGCATACTGTATCCTGAATGGTAATTCTGACTGGTTAACGTTTTACACACCTTTAAGCTGGTTATATTATATGCATTTTGCTATGTATGACTAACTTGACTTCAATAAAGAACTATTAAAAGTAAAAGCTTGTGCTGCCACCAACATAAGCCTTACAGTGACAGCGGATTTACCTCAATATTTTGCAAGCTTTTAAAGGGTGCCATTCCGGAATAATGGTTGAGAAAGGCTTGTCTAGACACCAGTCTGGTTCACCTTGTCTGCCATCTAGTGGATACATTTATAACAGTGTTGAGTGCTCATGAAGCCGTATAAGGTTTATTTATAAACAGAAATCAATATTTTACTGTTTTTTCTTTTATCATTCCTGCAATTTGCTGTTTTCAAAGCTGTTCTGGGCACAAGTGAAAATGTGTTTTATATACAATTTATACAGTATATTGTGATGGCGCAATGTCACAAAGCATATAGATAACTGAAATGCAGTTTAGCAGTTGCCAGGGTTAAGACTGAATGTCAGGGTGTAGAGAGGCAATGATGTCACCCAGGGTTCTCACTCATGCAGGTTGAGGGGCTCCTGTATGTTGGTTAAAAAAAAAAAAAAACAACAAAAAGAAAAATACACAGCGCTCTCTCAGGGATGCAGGGAGTGCGTGGATGCAAATGGTGTGGATTGCTGCTCAAAAGACAGGAGGAGAACCCTGTGAACATAATAATGAGACACTAAGAGCGCAAATCCGGAATTGTAAATGGTGTGATTTTGGATATATGTAAAAAATGTTTTTTTTTAAAATGAGGAACTTACTTGTGGTGTCAGGGATCCGGGCACAGTGGTGATTCTGGCGCTGCAAGGAGTGTTGGATAAAATTTGTTCAATTTCCAGTGGTCTCCAAGTGGCAGAGTAGGGGTGAAATAGGACTTTCTTTAGGGGTTGTTCATGGCGGCTGGGAATGGTGTCATCAGTTATAGTAGTGAGCTCGGGGGTCAAGGACTAAGGTAGAGAGCAGATTGGATGCAGATTGGATGCTATGTGTGCCGAAGGGCTGATGTGGAAGCTGCCTCTGGTCTTCGTTTAGTATATGTTCTAGATGTGGTGGAGTGGAAGTGGCGGTCAGTTAGGAAGGGGAGTGCACGGGGCCGTGTACAGTGAGCAACGCGTTTCGAGGAGATCCTCTTTTTCAAGCTCGGAGATAGAAGGTGAGTACATAGCATCCAATCTGCATCCAATCTGCTCTCTACCTTAGTCCTTGACCCCCGAGCTCACTACTATAACTGATGACACCATTCCCAGCCGCTATGAACAACCCCTAAAGAAAGTCCTATTTCACCCCTACTCTGCCACTTGGAGACCACTGGAAATTGAACACATTTTATCCAACACTCCTTGCAGCGCCAGAATCACCACTGTGCCCGGATCCCTGACACCACAAGTAAGTTCCTCATTTTAAAAATTTTTTTTTACATATATCCAAAATCACACCATTTACAATTCCGGATTTGCGCTCTTAGTGTCTCATTATCCTGTATTTTGGTTGTCAGTTCTCTCTGGGATTAGTAAATCCTGGTGTGGAGCCTGGAGGCTACTGGGTGGGATACAGCCCCCAACCCGGGTCTACATTTTGCTGTCATCCAGCGTCCTGATGGTGCCGGGGTACACAGCCTTTTAGGATTGGTGCTGACTTTGATTTAGAGCTCCTACCAGGGTAACAGAGGAGGTCTCACTCATAAGTTGGGTGTGGGTGTGGGCCTTTGCAGCGGGGAGCGGCGAGGTGTGTATAGAGTGTGCATGTCGGCACAGAACTTGTGAGACTGTCTAAAGGATACAGACAAGGGTCTGAGGATTGAGGCCAGAATAGAAGTGCTGCAAGAGCAAGCCTGGAGGCTGATGAGCATTTTTTTTAAAGGAAAATAGATGGTGAAAACCCCTGTGAGTGTAACCTTTCATGTGACATGAACTTTGAGTAAAAGTGGGCAAAAAGCCCCTTAAACATGAAACATGCTTCTACTGATTATTGTAAATGTGTGTATGACATCTGCTAAAACCTTTTATTTTATTCTGATAGCAATAAAGGAATCCTTTTTGTTAAGGAGTATGTCAACACAAGCGAGAATCTGAAATCTCCAACCACTACTGGGTGAGCAATGCTTTCATTTATCATATATATTTTAGTGGACATAGTCACATGACCTGAATCTAGGCATCCCAGGTTCCAGGTCCTTGGTACATTTCCAGGTTCCAGCCTTACCTTCTATCTTGCACAGTTGTACAGCCGCTTCTCCTGTAAAGAGATTTCATACTCTGATTTCACTGCACACTGTGAGCATTGGAAGCTGAAACACGTCAGCCCACCTCATTTCCTGGATGGAGGACCTCCAACATCTTCTAGCGTTTTCCTTCCTGGCCTTACTGTCCCTGCCCCCCTTTCATTCATTGGGTTTCAGTCATGGAGCCTCAGCATCACATGTGGGTCTTTAGTCCTGTGTTTAGACAACAACCTGCCAGCCCCTCCCACCAACTATGATCTTCCTGCATTGCATGGAGAAGCGCAGGGACCTGGTGATTATGTTACCAGGACTAAAATGAGGATTGTAATAAAAACAGAAAGATTTTATTTATTAATGTAATTAGAATGTGGATGAGGGGAAAGGAGGAACTAGGGAAGGCAAAGTATAAGCCGATGAAACTTCAGTTTTAAATCCCACTTTATTGCAATGGTGAGAATGAAGAAGTAGGGACGGCAAGCTGATCTATCTGAACTGTGAAACATTCTGAGATGCTGTTCTCCCAGCATGCCTTGTCAGTCCCGTGTTTCTGATGTGTATTTTCTCATCCCTTTACAGAAGCCTCCCAGACTTCTCAGGTGACTCTGAGATGTTATCCTACAACACCAGTTCCAGTTATCTGTACAGCAGTCCGCCAAGGAGGTAAAATGAAGGACTTATGGGAAATCAGTTTACCATTGTAGGTTGAGGGAAGTGGCAGAGAAAGCACTTCAGCTATAGCATTGCATAGTCTCTGAGGTTGAACTTTTTTTATTCTGCTGTGTGAGTTCCTGTTCATTACTTCCTGACTAGTTATAGAGAATCAATCACAACTGGATTTATTAAAGAATCACACTATTCTGACTTGAGTATTGTAAGTGCATGGCTTGAGTATACGTCTATAACTTCAGCTTGTGCCCGCGGTCAGAGGTCAACTGATGTATTGTCAATGGACAGATCTTGTATGCTGCACCACAAGGAATTTGGTAGCAGCTTTAAACTTCAGCTCCCTGTATATAATTCAAGTTCCACTACATTATTTATTTCAAATATTCAGTTAACATGCTCATTTGCTTTCTAGGTCTGAGGAAGGTCCCTGCACATACTGTGGTCGTGAAATCAAAGACTGTGCCAAGATCATGCTAGATCACCTTAACATCTACTGCCATGAGTATTGTTTTAAGGTAATAATACCTCTTATAACTACTAGACTTGCATAAAAATAACAACCTGCTGGACACATAAACTAATAATAATAATCGTTATTATTATTATTTATAGAGTTACTGTATCACAAATTGATATTTTTCAACAATATATAGATAGAGAGGTGCATACAGATAGATAGATGCATACCTACAAAACTATAAAAAAAATACCTACATACCAGATAGATAGATAGATAGATAGATAGATAGATAGATAGATAAGATAGATAAGATAGATAGATAGATAGATAGATAGATAGATAGATAGATAGATAGATAGATAGATAGATAGATATGATAGATAGAAAACTTTAGACAAGTAACAGATCCTATTTGCCAACTGGTGAAAGGCAGCAGCTCCTGAGCCAGTGACCCTTCCTCGTCTGGCTGTTCAGTGGTTTCTGCTACTCTAGGCCCATTTCTGAGTGGTCCCTATTACAGTTGATTGAAACAAAAGGACCTTCTAACATTTTCACAGTTATTGTGATCCTAAGGTCCAGCTCTACCAAGCACCACCCCCTCTGATGTATAACGCTATGCCTATGGATCTTACACATAGAATCAATATTCTAAGTGGGATCCCGTGACCTTATCTGTGTAGTTGCTCTGAGAAGCTCTCCATTACCTGTGTTATTATACGGGTTCAGCTTTAGTTTTCCACTGCAGAGAACAATGAGTGGAAGCCCCTTGTGTGCTGAAACAGGTGATAACATTGAGGGTACATGGTCATGTATTTGCACTGCATACACAATCAGCTCTGCCTCTGCAATGTATGGATTAATGAGCCTCCTTATTTGTACAAATGTACCTCTGATCTGATGTCATTGTGTGTTTATCCTCATAGTGTGGAATTTGCCACAAACCAATGGGAGATTTGATTGACAGCATCTTCATTCATCGGGATGTGGTTCACTGTGAGAGCTGCTATGAGAAGCTCTTCTAGCTGGATGTAAGTTTGTTTATTTCAAATTTCATGTTACATATTTTGTCATATGGAAGGAACAGAAGCCTCTGTATTTAACTAACGGAATAACATTTAGTTTGGTAAAGCACTCTTTATCATAAGCAGTCACCACCTTTAAAATAAAAAAATATGGTTTTCTCCTCCTTTGTGGCAGTTGATCTCCTGCAGCTTGTTTGAAGCCACTCTCTGGTCTACAAATGCACTCCAGCAACTGCTAATTGGACAGGGTCGGAGCTTTCTCACCCTGTACCAAGAAGTGCCTGAACAAAGACCTCCATGTCAGGATCACAAGGCAAAAAGTGACACTAAACTTAATAGCTAAATCTTAAAATGCATTTAAGTACCTTAACTATTAATAAAAATGTATCTTATTTGTGTATCACTCGGCTGTAGATCCTCCAATCATCTCCGAATTGGTGCTGGCACTGTCATTTCTTCTGGAGGGTGGCTATTTTTATTCCCCATGGTCCTTGTGTGTGTTGTAAAGTAGCCACCGCTCCAAACTCACTTCTGTGATGGACTACAATCTCAGGTTTAGTTAAAGGAGAACTATGAGGTGAGTGCTTTTCACTCACCTCATAGTTCTAGCCGACCTGTGACAATGAGACTGTCACAGGTCTGCTCAGTAGATCGGGAGGTGAGCGAACACATACCGGGTTTGCTCACCTCTCGATCCTGTCATGGCTCTCTGCCGTGACAGGGGGAGGGGCTGGATTCCCCTCTCCCCGCTCCGATCTGCCAGCGCTGACTGGCGGAACGGACGGTGGAGGGGGTGGGTACAGCTGGCTCTGCCTCTAGATAGGCAGAGCCAGCTGTCACTCACGCAGCTGGGCGGATCCCGTCATCTAAGTCGGGATCCGCTCTGGCTGCGGCTTCTCAGTGTACCGCGAGCTGTAGCTCGCGGTATACTGAGCTTAGGGTAACGGGAGGATGCTAGTTTGTGTCCTCCCGTTACCCTAAGGAGAACTATGGGGAAAAACACTGACCCCATAGTTCTTCTTTAATTCATTTGCATTGAGATTGTAGTCCATCACAGAAGTGAGCTTGGAGTGGTGGCTACTTTACAACACACACAGGGACCATGGGGAACAAAAGTAGCCCCCCTCCAGAAGGAAGGACAGTGTCGGCACCAATTCAGAGATGATTTGAGGATCTACAGCCGAGTGATACACAAATAAGGTACAGTATTGTTAATAATTAAAGTACTTGGATGCATTTTTAAGGTTTGACTCCTGAGTTTAGTGTCACTTTAAAAATATTGAAAATAACTTCTGAAATTACTGTAACATGTTAACACCTATATGGGATTTTAGTGATTGGGATTTAATACTTTAATACAATAAGTTGTACTGCATTTTCCTTTTTATAACGACCAGATGAGTTAGGTTTGTACTCACTGCAAACACTATTCTTTCCCTTTTAAAAAGCCTTTTTTCATTCTGTTTAATATATTTCTTCACTGTGTAAAATAGAAAAGAAAATCTTCAGAAGTAGCATTGCGTTATTGCTCTGCTGTTCCCCCAATGTCGTAAAACATGATTTAATAAATCTTACATAACTGGAGATCACATTTTATACCTACACTGATCTCACAGAATAGCCTCTGAATATCCATTTGCCATTTCAATATAAATCGATTTTTGGTGCTTGTGCTGTAACAACCTCTATAGACTATGCCTAAACCAGTAGATAACAGGAAATCAGGCATACAAATTGTTAACCGGCTGAAGATTCATGTGCAAGCAGATGCAGTAGAGCATGACTAAACAGCCTGCATAATTCATGACAAGCTGCAGACCACAACATGGGACAGTCTACTGCCGCATTGATTATATATGACTGGCCCTTATATAGACAGACAGCTATTCCTATAGGTTTTGATGTACACAAAACTATTGCAGGTTGGAGTTCCATGCAGACCCTAGCGTAGTCATTGAACCTCATTTTCTAAAACAGGAGCTAATTGCCTGTGTTACCCAACTGTTCTACCTGAAAAAGAATTTGTAATTCCGTCCAGTCAGTTCTGTGATCCACGCATCTCTGCCCTGTCAGAAACTTCATTGCTCATTACAGTACAATTAAGTAATACAACCTGGTTAAGGAACAACCCCAGCCTATCACTGTGCAATGGACGGGCAGCACATTAATTAGTATATCCCTGTGCTCTACCCAGGGGCATCACCAGGCCGGGTTTCACGCGGTCCGCATGTCATTGTGCATGCACGGGACATCATTACATTACGTGCACTTCACTGTCAGCCGCCATCTTGGTGATGGATGCCACCAAAGAGTGGAGGGGACTTCATCCGGTGGGATAAGGTATGCCACTGGGTCCCGTCCTTTCTCATGCAGCTGTCAGGTTCTAGGTCCATGACCGAGTGCCTGACTTTTCAGAGGGGGTGACACCAAAAGTAATTTTGATGTCACCCCCTCTGATGGTGTCACCCACACTCCCCATTGGCTCTACCCTCTAGTTCAAAGAGCTAGACTGACCGCACTGTGCAAAACAAAAGAGCAATAGAGTGGTGACTTTCATTGTTCCAGCCTGGGTGCTGCTTTGTAGAGGATTACAGAAGGCCATTACCAGGACAGAGTCACGTGTTTATGTCTGTTGTCTTTGAAAATAAATATATTGATTTATATTACGATTAAATCATTTTATATCTGCTTAAAGGTCAGCTTTCAATCTGATGAAGCATTGTAATAAGGTTTATTGATATTGTATCATTGTTCACCAATATTGTGTATTTATCTTGCTTTTATTGTAGAACACATTATAGTGAAGACCAAGATGGGAACTCTGAATCACCAGCAAACCTCTAGATTCTTATTATTGGCTGAACACGAACAAGTTATTACATATGAAAGTATTTTTCCTAATCATGATCATTTGCTTATAACATCTAAGATAAATGTTTTTGGAGTTAAGGGATTGCATCCTTTCACTGTGATCGACATCTGTATATATATATTGAAGTGAGATATACATACATTGATGTCATAGGTCTTTTCTGACTCTTATATATTACTGTACTGAACAAATTCTTATCCAGACATTGCATGAGTGAGTGCAGTCTGCTTAGTGAGGTCATATGAACTACAGAGATAATGAATAAGTATACAGGGTGACTTGTCTTTTGGCGAAATATATTTACAGTACTTTTTTTTTCCTAATAATCATGTTCTACTACTCTAAATGTATATTTAACAAGTCCAACATATAAAAAAAGACTTTCTGATTTAAACTGATTATGACTGGTGCTTTCAAACTATAGATTACAGAGTTAAACTTCAGTCGTTTTATATTTATCATGTTTCCTGATAAAACATACAGTGTTATTTTATTAACCAATTGCTATTCATGTCAGATCACTCTATGTGCCATCTCCACTGCTTGGATATTCTGCTGCAAGAACATACTTTTTTTTGACACTTCCATTTTCTTAGCGGCAGAACAACATTGGCCAGGAATCTGCAGGAGCCCAATTACAGGCCTGCTACTTTGGTACATGTAACTGTTTGAGGTTGGGTACCTGTGAGTGCTGGAGCTCAGCGCACTGATGGTTGTGTTTAAATCATCTGCATAAGCTGGATTGCCACTTGGGAAGCCACTGACAGGAACAGCTGCTACAAAGTCAAAACTCGATATAAGCTGTAGGCTAGGTTCCTCTGAGAAAGAAGCAATAAGAACTCTTCACTAAGCGTTCTTTGCACACAACCATTTGGCTCAAAACACTCTTTGAATCTAAAACTCATCAGACGTTGTAGGCTAGGTTCCTCTGAGAAGGAAGCAATAAGAACTCTTCACTAAGTGCTTCTTTGTACATAGTAATTTGGCCCAGAACACCCTTTAGTCTCACAACTTATCAGAGGTTATAGGCTAGGTTCTTTGAGAAAGGAGCAATAAGAACTCTTCACTAAGCTCTTTGTACATACCCATTTGGCTCAGAACACCTTTAGATTCAGAACTCTTCAAACGTTATAGTCTAAGTTCCTCTGAGAAAGGAGAAATAAGAACTTCGCACTAAGTGTTTGTTTGTACAGAACCATTTGGCTCAGAACTCATCAGAAGTTGTAGGCTAGGTTCCTCTGAGAATGGAACAATAAGAACTCTTCACTAAGTGCTTGTGTGTACAGAACCATTTAGTTCTTTGACATCAGCACGCCCTTTAGAACCAGCATCAAGGGAGCACTGGGTAGGCATTAGAAATACGCATCAAGCATCTCATTTTTGATGCCTGCGTATATCCATAGACCTCTAGGCTTGTTTACTACCTTTTAATATGTTTAGTAACAGTTTGACATCTATGGTATGTTCTTTGGTTTTCAAATGCCCTCCAGGCCTGGGGAGCACTTAGAGTAAATAAGCCTGCAGCATCAAGCACAGTCTAGATGTTGCAAGAACAGTTCAAATTGAAGCTTTTCAATTGAGCCATGTAGCTTAATATACTTTTTTCAGGCATTGTGTTTGGGGAGCAATCAGTGCATTCCAGGAAAGTGAACCAAGCCTCTGTTTATTACCCATGTGTGCAAGGCCGAAGAACAATGTAGAAAGTTTAGTTCCAGGGCTGTCCTAAAAGCTGATGTGAATGTTCTCTTTCCAGGTCGATGACTTGCCAAATAGCAAATAGAGAAAGTAAAATAAGGTCACATCCCTGGAACCTGCACATTCAAAAACAAGTCAGTGGTAGAGGCACCTATATTTCTGCCCCAACAGGTTTCTTTTGAATAATAAATTACCTTTTAAATGGCTAATTAACATGTGTACATGCGCATGCAAACAAACTTTGCCTTGTGGTGTATCAGTATTTTACGGGTATTGGTAAATGGCCTCTAAAGAAGCATCTGGAACACCTTCTGCATCAGGCTCTGCTCCACACATGTGAAATATCCCTTTATTGTTTATACAATACATTAAACTCTGTAAGCAGTGCCCCACAGTGTGTGTGCGTTTGGGTAATTGCAGAGGGCCGTGCAACGCACCTGAGTAGGAATATTGCCTATTCTTTGCTGTGTGTTCTGCAAAACATCCAATTACATCCTGATGCAGACAAGGCTTAGACAGGCACTTGAACTGCTGCCTACACATACCCAATTTAGGTCTACAGTGTCAGATGTGAAAAGCAGTAACACTTTTTAAGGCAAAATCATTCAAAGGGGATTTTTAATAGAAATGGAAATCTACCATCGAAATATCACATTTTTTTAGTACAACCCTCCCCCCCAAAAAAACTGCACCATACCATAGCCACCGCCACGTTACTACAAGAGTCCAGATGCAGGTGAAGCATTTCCATGTATAACAGAAATAGACAGTTATGTGTGGGACAGGGAAATGAAATATTGTCTACTTGCTATGGTGATTTGACACTCTTAAGAAATGTTATGTTGTACACGTTTAATGAATATATGCAGCATGCACATCTGTAATTGTCCGAAGATGCATTGTACTCAATAAAGGCAATCTATTTCTACATAATCATTGTCCGTGTTCTTTTATTGACCTCCGGAAATGTTCTCAAAATCAACAGACTATTTATTGGGTCAGTCTTCCAAACCAACACTGAAGCTTTTTTTTTTTTTTAATGTACATTATAGTATAAGGGGCTATTCATATCAATGTTTTCTAAATAGACTCACGCATTGTCTAACTGGATTTGAATGTGTGAATCTTGGGTAAAAGCATTGATAAATAGACCCTTATGTACTTTGGAGTAAAAAAGACTCTAACGTACAGTCAGCATGCTGGTCTCCCTTTGCAAATTGTCTATATGTTGGCCATGCTTCCACATCAATCTTGGCTTAATAATGTGTATGTGATCGCTTTCTATGGCCATTACAGAGATTTCCCCGCACGCTCTTTGCCAGTGATTGGTATCAGACAGAATGTGAGTGGAAATCTCTTCATCAGTAACATGGAGCGCAATCATTTCTTAAATTTACGTTATAAACCAGCCTTTCTCCACCTTTTTTTTTAACAAGGACGAACCCTTGAAATATCTTTCAGGTCTTAGGGAACCCCTGATAATAATTTTATCTACAGCTCACAGTTCATTAGTGCAAACTGTACAGGTTCAGTACAGGTACAGTATAAACACCCCCCTCCCCCCCTTCCCCACAGATGGCTAAAAAGAGCATTAATGTCAATGCTAACTTATGTGAGAGGCAGAAATAGCTCATTGCTCAAGGAACCCCTAGCAACCTCAGGAGGAACCCTGGTTGACAGAGGCTGTCCTAAAACTTCCCCACTACACTGGAGTTGGCCTATAATAATACAGTACACTCCCCGTTATATGTAGTTTCTGGTTGCTTGCGAGTTGCTCTTAAAAACAGGTTTAAATAAATGCTATACCACATGCTAGGGATGCACCGATACCAATACTAGTATTCATATCGGTGCTGATACCGAGTATTTGGCCGAGTACTCGTATGCGCCCAAATGCTCCGATACATACCTCCGATACCGGAACTTCCGGTCAAAGGGAGATTTCCCTCTGACCAGCAGTGCTGAGAGAGCATGGAGCCGGCTTCCTTTCCAATCAGGAAGCCGGGCATGGGTCTGACCCGCCTCCCGGCTTCCTGATTGGTTGGGAAGCCAGGCTGCCTAGCAACAAGTGAAGCCGGCTTCCTAGCCAGTCAGGAAGGCAGATGGGACGTCATGACTCGCATCCCAGCTTCCTGATTAGTCATGAAGCCACGCTGCCTAGCATGAAGTGAAGCCAGTTTCCTAGCCAAATTAGGAATCCGGGAGGCAGATCATCACGTGCTACCCGGCTTCCTGATTGGCTGGGAAGCCGGCTTCACTTGTTGCTAGGCAGCCTGGCTTCCTAAGCAATCAGGAAGTGGGACGGCACCTCATGATCTGCCACCTGACCTCCTGATAATTCGGGCAAACGGCACTGGTACTTTGTTCTCGGTATTGGTGAAAAGAATTGGTGAAAACAACAATATATCAGTACTCGTACTCGATACAGGGGGAAAACGGTATCGGTGCATCCCTACCACATACTATACTAGTATATTGTACTCTAAACCATTAGCAATACATTGCAGTACTGGGAGTGATCACTAGGTGGTGCTTGTTCACAGGCTAACATAGCACTTTCACAAACGATCAATCAGACACCCGTTTCCTGGATGGTTCAGACACTCATTTCCAGGATAATCCAGCACTTTTCAGCCCGTTCCTGAACCTTTCCATGCTCCAGAGCCCACTCTCCTTCTCCTAGAAGGTGGCAGATTGGCAGAACAGTGAGTACACAGGGTATTTTTTTTTTTAGATGGGAGTTCAGGTTAGCTGAATACCGGATAACAGAGAGTTTACTGTATTAATTATAATAATAATAAAACTTATGTTGATAAACTCTTATATCTTAGTGGAAGCTTACCCTAGCATTACTCAATGAACAATAAATAGCCGTATAACACATGCACTCTCCCTTATCTGCATTCCACCTCCACCAGGACTGTCAAAGTCAATGGGGAGCTACTATGCAGGCACACCTACATAAACTTCTGACTACTTCTCAACGCTGTGAGGGGGATTCAGGACTACTACTCATCACAGTAGGGGAAGTAA